CTCAGTAAATGTTGTCTGAATAAATACATGAGCGTTAATGGTCCCTGCCTGAACTGGAAACTCCCTGCGAGAGGTGGGGGAGTGTTGGTGTGCGCCCACTCACATCAGCAGGCCGCCCCTGTGCGTAAGGCCGCGCTCCCTGCCGCACCCACCCGAGTCAGAGGAGGGATGAGCATGCTGTCCCATGTTTGTTTTCCCCACAGATCCTGCCCGTGTGGCCACATCCACCAGGCCTGTCGATGCCTGGGGCCCGAGGAGGTGACCTGGCAAGGGGTTCAGACCACACCATCATTGCTGCCCCTTACAGGTTGCTGCTGCTTCTACGGTGGCGACCAAGGGGCTACACACTGCAGCGGCTCCCCTGGCACCAGGAGGATTCTGGAATGACAGGAGAAACTGCCATTGTTGGATTCCTTCAAGTTAGAGGAGGATGTGGTGGAAAGAAATAGGTGTTGTGTCTCAACGGGTCTAGTAGACCTTAAGAGTGAAGTAGATTTAGAAAGGCCCAGCCTGCAGAGCAGCGCGGGCCCACACACAGCAGGAATAGCAAGCCTGCCAAGGTGTCCCTGTTGTAACATACTACAGTCCACAGGCGTGGACTACCTGCCTAGGAAGTGGCCTGTGCACGGGCTGACTCACGGCACAGGCCTCTGGATCTCGGCTCAGGAGATCCGCAGAGCCATCCAGTCCTTTCATGGCAGGTCGGGAAAGATGCAGCTCGCCTCTTTCTTCCAGCCACGCTGGCCTGCTGGGCCCCAAGCTCTTCCACACCCTCACATTACAGACTGTCGCTCTGTCTGCTGCCTGCCTGCCTACCCGCCCCCACTGCACGCACGCCTCTGTGCGCACCCACCTGCTGTTTCCCTGAAGTCTTCCTTCCGACTTCGCACTGCCAAGGGCCACGAAGGGCCCTGAGCGTGGTGCAACGCTGTGGGGTGGGCCTGAGGGCCGGCGGCTGGACACCAAGCTCATCACATTGAGGGCAAGTTTGAAGTCTGAGGTGCTGCCCTCGAAGAAGATTGGGGGAAGAAGAATATGCTTCCTGTTTTTCTGTTTCACAGACTGTTCTTTAGCTTTGCTCATATCTGACTTTCATGATACTATTTATTTGTAAAACCTATCTATATAGTAATAGAATTGACTTAAACTGTTGGGTTTTGCTTTTACTTAAATATACAAACCTTGGTTATTCTGTGGGCTAAAGTGAGTGCCATGGGCCCACCTGAACATGCGACTATCACTTATAAAGGGGTTACTCTTTTTATCTTCCAAATACAGCAGCTGTATTGGTTTACAGCTCACGCACCACCTGTAAAGAGCCGTAAAGCTTTGACTGTCCTTACTGAAGCTGCACAGATGGCCAGTGTCTCCACAGGAAATGTCCTGCAGGTGGACCCTGCCCCGTGCAGGATGCCTAAGGAGCTGGCCCAGCGCCGCACAGCCACCCGCCCAGTAGGCGCACACTGCTGGGCTGCAGAAGACGAGCAGCACGCGTGTGCGACGTGCAGTCCCAGACGCAGCGAGCACGCTCACGTTGTGTGTGCTGTGCAGAGCGAGTGTGCTACCGTACTGCATAGCTTGCCGAGGGCATGGGCTTGCCTGGGCCGCGCAGGCACCATGTTGCATAAACTGCACAGTAGACTGCACTTTGCAAATTTAAATCTATTGCGCTGTCCATACCACGGTGAAGTTTTTCTCTTGCTCGTTTGTATATATAATAGCAGTTTTTTTCCTGTAGTCTGGGGCAGAGGGTCACATTAGCTTAATGGAATGTGCCCAGGTTGCTTCCAGTCCTGGGCAGGATCATGCTTTACACCTGAGACATGCCCAGTGGCCTGCTCCAGTCACGCTCTTCAGACCACAGAGGCCAGGGATGGCGGGCGCAGCGGGGCTGCTCCCCTCGGTGAGCGCAGCTCGGCGCTGTGTTTGTGGGATGCAGAGCCAGAGCCACGCATGAGAGCACGTACGTGCACACGCGTGCACGTGCACACGCACGCACACGCACCTGGTGCTTGCTCCCCCAGGGCAGGCTGCTGAGCTCCTCTCTGAGCCGCACACTGTCAGCTTCTCGCACTGGCAGCGAGCCTGTTCGTAGGCGCCAGACCAGGAGCAGGCGGTGATGAGCAGGCGCTCTCCTACCTCCCTGAAAGGCCGTGCTACCTACCACTTCTCAAGAAAGCCTGAGGTTTCTGACCCAGAATTGTGTTGCTTTAAACAATAGTATTATGGCAGAGGAAATGTTTACGTCAGTGTAGGAGGCCTTAGCTTTATTTTTCAAGTCATTTTGTTTTAAAGTGGCTATAGAATTTGCAGTTGCGTATAAAATATAAACCATTCATCAGTGTGAACTAGTTATTTCCTTTCCCTATTTCCTCTTATCAAAAGAAAAATACATTTGGTCTCTTAATACAGTCCTCTTCAGTAAGTTATCTGCGGGTTTTGTCATGCGCTTGGTATCACAAGACACAGGTGTGGCCTGGCTGCCGGCAGCAGAGGGCCAGGAGGACTCCCAGGTCCTGCAGAGAGCCTGGGGTGCGCTCTCGCGAGCTCGACGCTGGCCGACTCTGCGCAGGAACAAGCCTTCCCCACGCTGCCCGTTCATGTGCTCGAGCTCACTCAGGAGCCTCACCTGCCTTTGTGGCGACGGAAAGGGGCAGGATGAGCCCGTTCGCAAGGGCGCACGCCGCTCCCTCGCCTGTGCCGGCCACGCAGAAGTCAATACTAAGCATTCAGAGGCAGCCTAACCAGAAAAACAGCCTGACTTTCTATCCTGAAAGGTTTCTAAACTTTTAAAAGCTCAAAGGCTTGGGTAGCTTTTTTTGTTTTGTTTTTATTTTTGGTGTTCATCAGGGGAGAAAGGAAATACGGAAACATTTTTTTAAAGCCCAAAAGAAAATATGTAAAACAATGAAGCACATAGAATGGTGGTGCTGTTTTTTTCTTGATAATCTATAAATAAGTGTCGAGCTATGGTGTTGGCCCTGCAATTACAGGGCTTATCTCTAATTATGTTAGACACTATTTTGTTTCTTAAGAGAAAAGCAGTGCTTGTTATTACAGGTAGAAGAATACCAGAGAAAAACAAGTAGCAAGCTAATTTACTCATTTCAAGTGGGTTTCCTATGTGCTTTTTGCTTTTGTTCCCAAGCCAGTAGGCAGTGAACCCAGCGAGCCGGCAGCTGCGCTGCTGTTCTCAGGTGCACATCCCCAGACAGCTGCGAGCAGCAGGTGCTGCGCGACGCACTGGCTGCTGGGGGTGCTGAGCTGCTTAGCCAGAGAAGGACCTGTGGCACACTTGTGCTACTGTGCCAACGTGTACACATTGGCCTTGGGAGGGAAGAGGTGCTGGACGGCTGCTGGACGTTCCTTGTCTTGTTGCATCTTTAACGTGGCTAACGATCTAGCAGAAGGGCCATTTTGGCCAGGGGAAGGCAGGAGCTGCGCTCTTGGGAACTGCAGGCACCTCAGTCTGGGTCTGGGGAGCCAGCAGCACAGCGGTCCTGCCCCGCATTTGGCAAGACATTCTCAGGTTTCACAGCTGTTTACTTTAGCAGAGGACTTGCTAGCTGGCAGATTAGAGTGTTTACTAGATAGTGCCCCAAGCTCCCCCTTGCTGGGTGGACGCGGGAGGTTGCTGACTGTGAGCGTGACAGTTCTCTGAGAGGTAGAGAGAAGGAAGCAGAAGCCCGGGTGTAGCTTGCCCATCCAGTTCAGAACCGGGCGTCCTGCTCAGCTTTAGTATTCCCACGTCTGTGACTTCAGCAATTTTAAAACAGTCTGCCAGAGCGACAGAAGGAGAGCCCTGGAAGATGGGCGAAGGAGCTGTGCGAGGCTGCTGGGGGCTTTCCCGCTGCATTGTGCTGAGGGTCTTCGGCTGACTTGTTGTCTGTTCTTTGGATTGAATGACCCCTCTTGTCCCGATAGCTGTGACAATGCGGGAATGGTCCTTCGTTTAGACCTGGGAGTCAGTTACTTCCTCCCTAAAGGTAGGGAGTTCATGAGAAGCAGACCAGGATCCCAGGCCTGTTCTGATATGAAGAACAGTGTTGTAAGAGAACACTTACGGTGAAATGCACGGCTGAGAAATAGGCTTCGCTGGGAGAAAGTGCCGAGTGAGCTTCACTGCCTTTCAAAAGATTTTATATGACTTTAAATAATTACTCTCTACTGTGTAAGCACTGTGTTAAGTTATATTTAACAATTAGCCCACTCTTTATGTCTTATTTAAACTTCCTTTAGAGTACATATGGTTCATATAAAGCAAATGCCAGGGTCACTTGGGGTTTGTATGGAAATGATAACTTGTGAAGGAAAAGCAGAGCTTTCGATATCTTATTTTGGTTACATTCACTGTAGCCTGAGAACGGTTTGTTGGGTCCTCTCAGCCCAGTGGAGCCGAGCTGGACAGCCTCATTTGGGGACGGGTCCAGAGCCAGCTGCTCGACCTGAGGGGGGGTGCGCTGCCTTGGGGACACTTGTGAAACACTCCCCCATCTCCAGATGACCAGCCCTGTGCCGCTGAGCCCCGAGGTTCTGAGAAACATAGGTCTGCTTTATTTAATTTCCTCTCATTTACCAAGAGACACAGTCTATTTTCGTAAAGAAATTCAGGAAATTAGTAAAGCACTTGACTGCATCCGTCATACATCAGTCATTAATGTGATTGTCACGTTTTCCTGGCTCCAAGAGGCCATGGCTCCAGCCTCCCTGAGCCCAAGAGCTGAGGGGAAGGTCCTGGCAGCTGTGCCTCTGAGCGCGGGCTGCTTACACAGAGTAGCCTGTGAGCTCTGCAGAGTGGCGCGCACACTCCCTCCGCCCGCAAGCACAGGTCCCTGGCTTCAGAGAGCGCCGTGCTACCGGAAACAGGAGTGCTTTTCTCTCTTACCCCAGGAGAGAACTGCAGCAGCAGCCCTTCACACATGGTGCCGGCAACCATTGGTCCTGGTTAGGACCGGGACGCTGGCGGGGCCCCCACCACCCCCAAGGAGCCCAGCTCCTACCTTTAGCAGCCACTGCGTGTTGTTCTCCAGCAGGCTCTCCAGCACCTGTAGCCTCTGTGTGGAGTCGTCATAGTCAAGGGGCGCGTCCCTCTGCACTGCGTTGGACACGTAGGGGCTGGACGCAGAGCGGCAGCTGTCCATCTCGGGCAGGAGGAACGTGTAGCTGCAGGGCCCGTGCTGCACCTGGTACTGCTTTCTCCCTGTGCTGTCCACGCTCTTCCGAAAGTTGTTGTAGGCTGCGGCTAAGACAAGATCACAGCCCAAAGTAAAGAAAACAATCTGCCACATTCTCTCTTCGGGTTAGAAACCACCGGCTGAGCAGACTTCCAGGCACATGTGAATCCAGAGTCCCGGCTGCCGCCTAACACACCAGACTGTGCTGCATGGCTGAGCCCATCAACGAAAGCCTTCTTTCTTTTCCTCTCCCAGGGGCAGCCTTACTCTCCGGTGCTGTCTTCTCTCTGGGCATGCAGTAACTGTCAGATTGCGCGGGAAGGACAGCCTGGCCGCTTGGGGAGGGAGGGAGGGCTGTGCAGGCTTCACAGAGCAGCTTTCACGCTCTTTGTTTCTCTTCCCCCAGATTCTACGGTGTCAGTATCCGAATCAATCACTTTCCTTCCCTTATATGATAAGTTGATAAGCACAGCCAGACATGTGTAGCTGCTGCTCCGCCCTCCTGGCTTCTCCCTTATCTTCCTGTAGGGGGTCACTAGCCAGGCAACAGGAAAAATCCGAGCATAATGCTCACCGTCCAGCCAGAGCCGTGGGCTGCAGAAGCCCTGTGGGAGCGCTGGCCCGGCGCAGGACCCTGGCATGTCCGAGCGCCGCCCTAACTGAGCATTTCCTAGAGAGAGCATGGGCTTGCCCCACCACGCTAAGCTGGCAGAGTATCCGAGGTAGTAACTTTAATCTTCAAGTACAATGAGAGTTCCTGTTTTTTCCTTTAGGAATAAAAATACTACAAATATGTGAGGACTGCAGTTTATTTTTGCTATTACAAATAAAGAGGAAGACATTTGGCTCTTGTAAACTATGCCTTTTCAGAGGGAAATAGTTTCATTGAGATTGTTTGATTGTTGGTCTGTTAGCTAAGTTATACAAAATTTTCATTTTAAACCAGTTTGCTATTATTAAATACAGTTAGAAGGATTGTTTTCTGAGCTGAAAGTTGCTCTTTTAAAAAAATTCCCTGAAGTATTTAAAATACAGGAAGTATATTTGTCTGATTGATGATGGATGAGTTATAGTGGAAAAGTCAAAATGAGTCCAACCTGATGTTGGACTCGGGCAAGCCCCCAGCCCCTAGAAGTTAATCAGTGAGACCCTGGTCTGTGCATGTCAGGAGCTGCACTGACTTGCAAGGCCACACCTGTAAGTTACTCCCTGGATCACTAGAACTTCCTGCTCCGGAGGCTGTACAGCGCAACCTTGCTGGCCGGCCGGCCCAGGTGAGGGGATGCGTGCCGTTTACCTGCACCGACACAGCTTACAGGGGGTCAACAAATGAGGGCTATAATTCTTAGGTGGCCCTGGAATTTGTGCATCAAGGCTTGCTTTCCTAGAATCTGTTTTCAAGCGAGCTGATCAGTTAGGCTTTTAAAAGTATACCCTATAAATGGACTGTTTCCTGGGTGACCTCAACAGCAGGGATCTGTACCCTGAGGTTGGTGGGTAGGAATTACTGGGCCCAAGGCTGCGCTCTCACTGAAATGCAGCCTGCCTCCCCCACGAAGCTGGCAGGCTCTTTGGCCTTCGCATGGATGCAGACAGCCTCTGCAGCCCTCCTGTCGCCACTGCTGTTCAGCAGCCTGGCTGCCACACCGTGGCAAGCTCAGCCAGCAGCTGGCCAGCATGGCAGGGCCCGGCAGCTTCATTCATGAGTGCTGACACTGGAGTTTGTCATCCTCTGCTGTCCCTCCAGCCTGCTCCATGTGAGAGAATAAAGATCCTTCACTCATCGGCTACAACAGGTATGGACTATGTTTTGCTGACCTCTGAGTTAGAGCCTGGGGGCATCTTCAGAGGTCAGGACACAGCCCGTGAGGCCACTGTGCTATGCACAGCCAAGGGACATGGTGACCTCCCTCTGCCCACTCCTAATGTGGCTCCTAATGTGGCCAAGAAGTGTGACATGTGCCAGGAAGGGTCTCCTAAAAGGCCCAGAGAAAAAAACCTGCTTTGAAAGTGAGCATCAAGGGAAGTAGGAGGACAGAGTGCCCAGGAGGTGGCAGTGGCACAGACCAGAACGTAGCTTGTGGCCTGATACGAGGGCCACCAGGAGACCAGGGGGACAGTTGTTCAGACAGCGCTGCCACCAGCTAAAGCAAGTGACCACTGTGGACAGGCAGAGGGTGTCTAGGAGTCCTTCATGAGACACTGATCAGGGCAGGGTTAGCAGGGGCTGAACCGTGGCGCCCACGCCAGCCTGCAGGTGCGTGAGCCGTGGTTGCCTAGTGCAACTTGATCCCGCCAGTCTGAAGGAGGCTTCTCGTCATCTCTGGGCTGTTCATTTGTCCGGTTTTCCAGTCTTGGGCTCTCCTTGGTGCCTTGCTAACGGGACACCTGATAGCAGAGGAAGACACAAAATGAGAAATATTATTGCAGCATTCTCAGCAGCTGCCACCTGCTGTCCAACTGATTTTTGTTTTCCTAAGAATTTTGTCACACAGCAGCGCACAGTGCCATTTGCTTTCCTGATCACATCTGTCCCCACCCTGTGTTGTGGCACTAGCTAACAGGGCAGCCGATCTGTGCACTCTCTGTAGCATTGGCTCGAGCACTGGCCTCTGTGCTGGCAGCAGGAAGACCCCACCACGCTCCCTGGAAGCGGGAGGTCGGCCCTGCCCACCCTGCCCACCGCCCCCTTCTCTAGCTTTGCCCCGACGGGCTGAGGCCAAGCCCAGGGCCGCCCTGTGGAGTGTGGCCTCCTGGCGCCAGAAGTGGGGCTGATGCTGCAGGTGCCCAGGCACGGCCCCGTCACTGGCGCAACCTGCAGAATTCTGTCAGAGGTTTTGTTCACTCGATGGTGTCACAAGAAGCCAGAAACTGACAAAGGATGTGCGCTGCAACTGAGTCATGGCGCTGGAGTTGGTGACCGCGGGGGCTCACTGTCACCTGTGTGCTGAGTCTCAGCGGGCAGTCCTGCCCTTGGCTGAGTCAGAGGTGCCCATGGGACCTGTGGCTGACCTGGGAAGTACTGCTGCTCTTCCCACCACGCCGCTCCGGAGCCCGCGTCCAAAGCCCGCATCCAAGGCATGCTTGCGGGAGGGCAGAGCAGAGGTGCTGCCATCCACCAGCCCCGATTCCATGGGCTGGCGGCTTCTGAGCCAGCGTCCTATTTGTGCCTTCGCCCTGCACAGCCCTGGCTGCTCTCCTCGCCGCTGCTGCCGTGGCCGCCTCCTCGGGCCTCCAGGGGTGGTGACTAGCACAGGCATTCTTGGCCCAGCATGGCCTGGATTTTGGGAAAGTGCCGTGTTGGTATGATGGAAACTCAGGGCTGAATCACCCTAAAAACGAAGCCGGGACGCTGTTCTGCAGACAGATGGGCACACTCGGGACTCTCGGGCGCCTGGCACGCTGGAGCTGGAAGGAAATTGAGAGCCATCTTGGCCATCTCTCCTCCCCCCCCTGGCGTCTTTAAAATTGGTGAAATGAAGTCAGTCAACATGTTTCTGTGTACAACTGCATGCCCAGTGTTCAGGGAAGCCTGCGAGAGACTGCCACATGAAACTGTTGTCAGAGGGAAAGTTACTTTTGCTCCCTCTCAGACTGTGGACAGCAATTAATGAGAACCGAGGAAGTAACCACACAGAGAGAAGTGCTCAGCCTTCCCAGGTCAGCCCCCAGGAGTGACTTCTTTGTGCGTGTCCAGTTCTGCCCTGTGTTGAGGGGTGGAGCTGGATATCATGGGCACGCATGCCTCTGCGGCCGCCCTTACGCTCTCAGAGCTGCCTGCGGGGTGCACTGTTGTGAACTTGGAATCTGGCATGTGTGAAAAGTGATCTTCACCGTGGGATTTGAGAAAGTACCCGAGGAAAGCCCCTTGAAGTCACCGTACATACAGAAGATCTGAGCGGCACACCTGTCTGCATAGCGCCTTCCTGCTCAATGAGGAGACCAACCTTGGGTGAGAAGCGAGAGTGCCACCAGCACCGGGAGCCCCCTGCTCCCCAGAACTCAGAGCAGCAGTGCTTGCTCGGCTTTTAGTGTGGCTGGGCCCAGCCCGTGAGAGAGGGTGGGGAGTCGCCCTTTTGTCTTGGCCGTAACCTCTGTGCAGCAGACTCCCCGGGGACAGACCAGGTGCTGCCATGGCCTGCCTGGCCGGCGTCTCCAAGCTGGGCTCAGGGCTCCGGCAGCAGCTCACAGTGCCCCTCAGCGTCCCAGCGCTGTGCCACCTGTGTGCGGGGGCCACCCTTGCCCTGGGTACATGGCCGTGCACTGGCACAGGCGGAGCCAGAGGGCCTCACCCCCGCAGGGCCTGCGGGCTCCACAAGCATCACTGAAGCCTTCCGTGCGCAGCCAGCCACACTGTTGCTTTTCTGGCTTTCGCATCCTGCCTTGCTTCACCTGCCTTCAGTGTCATTGCCTGTCGGTGGAGGGGAGTGAAGCACCTCGTGGAGTCGAAGCAGTCTCTGAAATGAAGCGTGGTACCTAGCTTTCAGCCTCTGGCATAAAACAGCTGGACAATTATATTTATGTACAAATTAAGTGTTATCTACTTAGAACTGGCTCTATACGATTCACCTGGGTGAGCTCTGAGGAAATGTACGTCTTGGTAACCTCAGCTCTGGCCGCCAGGAGAGGAGAAAGCCTCTGCCCACTGGGCTTTCAGGCCATTTCCTTTCCTGAGAAACAGCTGCTTCCCTCCCTGCCTCACCGGTGTTTTCCTCTGCCATAGATGGAGAAGCCTCCAGTGGACTGGATGGAGGACCCAGGACCAGAGAAGGGCACCTCACCATGAGGCTGTGCCACCTCCCTGGGTGCAGCTGGGTGACTTCTATTTGCCACAGAACTGCAGAAACGATCAGTGAGCGTGCGTGGAGGGAAGGATCGGACTGGCAGCTTGAGGAAGTCTGAGTCTCTGACTCCCAGGTGGTGGGCGTGCTGCTCACGTGGGTGGAGGGGAAAGGTGCCAGGGCTTCACTGTAAGTCATCCAGGTGTGTGCTGTGACATCCTGTGGGATGGGGCACACCCATCTGAAATAGGACACACTTAGATAGAACACAATTAAAGAAACAAGAGAGCCTCAAATCTCTCACAGTCCGCGCTGCCACAAAGCAGCACGGCATCTGCTTTCCTTTCTCACTTCTATGGCATGCTGTGTATGCCGGGTGACCTTACAGACTCAGGAAGGAAGGACTTTTTATTTACTGGTTATTTGAGAGATAGCCAAGTAACATTTTTTAAGATTGCCCCGCAAATTCCCTGAATTTTTAGATGTACTTTAGTTTATATAATTATCCCACTGTACAAAGTTGTCCCAAATGTTGTTTGATTTTTAAATATTTTCATTCTAATATTTTTGTGGAATATTTTATCTTCCCATCAAAAAAAACAAATGCCAAAAAGGTCAAGATATAAACACAGCTTTTAAAGGCAGTGGGTAAAATTTTCAAACAATGGGTGAGCGCATTAGCCCGTCAATATTTTTGCCAGTAGTTCTGTGTCCTGTTTTCTCCCAGTAGAAAGAAATGCTAAACATTCCTTTCAGCGGATTGATGTCAGCGGTGACTGTTTTACCCATGACCCAAGTTAGGTCAAACAGCCTTTTCTTTGACCAGCACAGTATTTCATTTGAAATTTTGAGGAGGCTTTGTTAGCTCTCCTTTTATGACTAAGTGCTCCTCAGTCACGTCAGCAGAGCCGCAGGTTCCGTGGCCTCGGAGTAGCGTGCCGGGTTCTCTGTCGTCACCACCAGCAGGCGCCCTCTCTCCCGTATTTCACACAGTGAATTTCCATGTGATAGTGGCTTAATGCCACCTACATTAATCTTCATTGAATCTAAATTGGTAAGATTTTATCTTGATTATTGAGAAACATTTTTTTAAATAGATAAAAATGTCTTATGCGCTATTTACATTAAGATATATTATCTCTCTTGGTTGTAGGTTAACATAAATAAAATTGCTTATGTCAAAGATGTGAAAAGAGGCCCATGGCCCTTTCCGGTTTTCCCATCCATCTGACTGACTTGCGATGAAAATGCCTTCCTGTGGGAAACCATGCTTGACGGTGGAGTTACATGGGCAAAAAAGTAGTTTTTGAAAAATTACATGAGAACTGTAATAAATAGCTATATATAAAAGTTATGGCAGTGTGTATAATTTTTTTAATCATGCTGCTTGTATTTAAACATCTAGAAAGACTCCCGCCGACTCGGAGCTGTGTAAGGACAGCCAGACTCTGGTAACCCCCACCACTGTCCCTAGCTGCTGGTCCAGTCCATCTGTGGCAGCCATTCTTCCTCAGAACTTTTCCTGTCCAGGAAGGGTCTAAAGTCAAAGAAGGACTGACACAGAATAGAAAATAAAAGGAAGTAAATTGTGCAAAGACTGTAAAGAGGGGACATTTATAGAAATATTGAGGTGCTTAGTTCCTGACATCTGTTTCCCTCAAGAAAAAAAAATTCCAATAATGTTTTAAAAGCTCAGAAAACACTCTACCAGAATACTTACAGGAAAATAAATTAAGCACTTTCCCTCAAAATCCTCATGACTTTCAGTGACATTTTAAATTTATACATCAAAAAGTCCTGCCAGATTATATTAAAAATTAAAACTGCAAGAAATGGCACCTATTCAAGAATACATCAGATTCTCTTAGGATACTCGCCTGCGCCCCCTGCTGGCCTCATGGCAAGTGACAAGCAAAGCTGTCCATGTTATTAAAGTCATTCATGGAAATAATACGCAATTTAAGACACAAGTTGGTTGCTGCTAATATACAACCTGGAATGCTTTTATTTTAGTTTTAAGGCAAACAGCACACTAGAGGCAGAAGCTGGGCATCAGCACTTGTGTGTACGCCTGCATGCACACTGTGAAAGGCTGGCAGTAAGCCCTTGTTGTAGCAGATGCAGAGTCGGAGCTGCTTCTGCCTGCTCTGGTGAGAGGGCGACTGCCCAGCGAGCCCCACTGCCTGTGATGATGGAGAAGGAGAAGTGGACTGTGCTGTCGGCCGCATGGGGGCGGGCACAGAGACACAGTCCCACTCACAGCCCATGCAGACTAGCGGCCGAACGTCCCCAAGCGTGTGACGCACAGGCCTCCACCCCCAGGACCATCCACAGGCAGGCAAGGCCCAGTTAGCTGCTGGAGAACAGTCCTGTTGGGATCGGTGGAGACGTTCACTCACTCAAAAGATCGACCCTCACACTGCTGGCCGCAAAAACACTGCGCAACAAAAAGTGACCAACCCGTGGACTTGAGCTGTTGGGGCAAAGGGCAGGAATCAGCTGGAGCAGCCCCAGCCCGGCCTGATCAGCAGAGGCCAAGCACCTTGTGCAGCGACTGGGAAGTGAGGCCAGAAGAGACCATGGGCTCAGCTGCTGAGGGCTCAGAGCACCCGAGGAGCCCCGCGGCGTGGCTTTAGGATGTGCGTGGGACAGCCAGGAACAGCGCTGGTGGGGCGCAGAGTCCAGATGACAAGACAGAAGGAACAGCAGGCCCAGATGAGCCCAGGGCCCAGGGAATCTAGTGGGCCTGAGACAGCTCTGCCCCCAGGTCACCTGTCACACCCTCAGCCCTTCTACACTGCAGAGCAGGTGAGCAGGGACAGTATCAGCCATGATGAGCTCTGTAGACGAGGGCGGACTGAGCACCTCCGTCCTCAGCCAGGTTGGGAAGAGGCACTGGTGCAGATGGATTGGTGCCCTCATGGGCACACATGTTGCGGGCGCTGCGCCCGCTGGGTTGGCTGCCATGGCGAAGCAGGCCTGCGAGCTAGGCAGGAGGCCAGGGGCATGCACTGTCGCGCACACAAGGAGGCTGCAAAGCTAAACCCAGGTGGCACCGAGTGCCAGGCTGCCTTCACACCCATGGGGCGCCGTGGCTTGCCCTTTGTGGCCTGATCTCCGTGGCATCTTGTCCTGACACTCACTTTGGGAAAGGAGGCACCCTGTGCGTCTTTGCCAGTTCCATCCGAAGGGGCCCTGCATGCCGGGAAGGTTGTGGTCTACAGCTCCATGATAGCCGTGGCTGACAATGCTGAGATACAGGGACACCGAAGGGAGGCAGAAAGTCCCAGGTGAGAACGTCGAGGATGTGAAGCAAGCGCGCATTGCTGCGGTACGCTGGCTGAGCAGTCAGACCTACAGGTCAGGCTTAAGAAAGTGAGACATAGTTGGTATGACAAAGGGCTCCCACCAGGAGTGGTGGCACTTGCCTACAGTCCAGCTGTCCCTGGCAGTTCAGCAACCAGTAAGACTGGGAAGATAACTGAGTCTTCAGGCTCTTGGTGCAGGTCCTGGCACCATAGAAATAGAGAAGACAGGTCGTCCCAGGTAGGAGTCGAGGCCAGGGTGGAGGGCAGGAGAGAAGAGGGACTGGAGCGGGAAGCCGGTCCTGAGCTGAGTGCTGCCCCAAAGGCAAGCAAGGAGCTGAGCTGCCAGCCCAGCACGGCCCCAGTGAAAGCACGAGCAGCGTGGGGAGTGTGCGGCTCCAGGCGCGGCACAGGCAGTCGTGTGCAGTGACTGCGAATGACATGTCTTCCTGCGGGAGACACAGGCCTGGGAGCAGGAAGACCGGCAGATTCCAGCCCACTGGAGCTGCTGTTGGACAGGCCATGCTGGGAGCAAGACGCACCCAGCCTCAGGTAGTCCATGCCAAGAGCTCCTCGGATGCATGGAGACCTTCCACACAGGCGCCAGGGCCAGCCCTGTGCTCCATTATCACCATGGGTGCTCCGTAAGGGACCGGCAGTGACAGCAAGTAAAGAGACAGTGGGAGCAGACTGAGCCCACCAGAGTCCGAGTGTGGCGGTGCGCGGCTGTAATCCCAGCACTGAGGAGGCTGAGAGCCGGAGGATCACCACGAGTCTGAGCTGTGTAGTGAGACCCTGCAACAATCAAATACATTACGAGAGGAGGAGGAGGAGGAGGAGGAGGAGGAGGAAGAAGAAGAGGAGGAGGAGGAAAGGAGGGGAGAAGTGGGAGAGGGAAGAGAAGGAGGAGAAAGAAAAGAAGAGGAAGAGGAAGATGAGACAGTGTGGAAGGTCTTGCCAGTGATCCAGAATAGAGTCAAATATGCAAGATTCAAGTAGCGGCACAGTAGCTTTTCAGGAATCGTTTCTCTGAGGCCCCTGTTACAGGTTGAATCCTGTCTCCCCTCTCATGGTGACAGATGTTGCTGGCTTAGGACATGATGGCATAGAATGTGCCCCAAACTGCAGTGGGATAGGGTTGGAAGGTGATCGAGCACGCTGTTACGATCCTGCTGGTTCCAGCGCTGTTCCATTGGTCCGTGAGAGCTGGTGCCCTGGCATTCAAGACGCCAGGTCGGGGCTACTGCATGCCCTGTCTTCCGGGGTGACCTTGCATTCCCCACACAGCCTGAGTCACCTGAGCTGAGGAGGCCATGGTCTGTGCCTTTCACACGCCTGTAGAGCCCCTCACCTTGGAGCTGTCTCGAGGCATGGTGTCCTAGGGAACCTCCCCGACTGTCTGTCCCCCGCTTATGTCTGAATTCTGAAACACGGGCTTCCCTGTCATCTTGGGACAGCCTCTCCCGGTGGGCCAGCCAGGAGCAGGCTCCTCTCTCAGCAGCTCTGCGTTGTGATGCTGAGCCACCCTGTGCTGACAGCAGGCGACCCACAACCCCGCAGCAAAGCAGCATGGGTCCCTTTAGTGGCTCAGGGAAGAAGGGAATGGGTGGAAATTCTTTCTGAAACTGGTATTCCAAAAGTACTCAGACCTTGCAGCTGCTTGCTAGCCGGTATCAGTCCTAAACAACATTTTAGTTGGCAGAAGAAAAATGAGAAGACAATGAGGCTTGAAGCCTAAAACTTTGGGAAACCCCTCATTCCATAATGTGCTTATTTATTTAAGCAGGCTTAAAAATAGGCCTGTTTTCAGAATATGAGAACTCATGTCCAACTTTGCTATGCTTGTTTTGTTTAGAATATGTGTCAAATGTCTTGATTAAAAGAGACCAATACTTGATTGTTTTCTAAACATAATCTAAGCCTCACTCTGTAGTAACGTTCTCCCATTTCCAGAGTCATCTGATTTACCACCAGAATGCATTTACTTGGAGACAATAGAATAGGACCCAGCACAAGGCAGAGCAGCCCAGGACTGCGTGGGAGGCATGTGGCTGGAAGCTGCACGGCTGGGGCCAGGGGAGAGCAGGGTGCTGGTGGGGCAGGGCCCCTGGCTCCCAGCAAACCTGGGGGCCTTTGCGCCAGTTCCTCTAGTGGGCCAGAGAGCAGGTGTGAAGGAGACAAAGCTGGCCCATGAGGGGGAGCGGACCCTGAGGCTCCCAGGAGCTGTGCCCCATCCGCGACTGCGGAGAAGCCAGCCCCAGCGCCTGGCCAGTGGGCCGCAGCGGAGACCCGTGTGCTGAGGCTGCGGCATCGGCTCCCTTGTGCATGCTTAGGGCTCATCTTTGGCAAGTGGGGTAGGCGTCTGCTGCTCCACAGGATGTCTTGCTGTCCTGAAGATCTGGGGCCCTCTGAGCACTCACCAGAGCCGCGGGCATCCTGCAGCACCTCTCTGGCCACCTGGCTGCGCTGCGGGGAGCCAATGGCAAACCCCTAGATGAGCCTTGGTTAAAAACCCGTGGGTGTCTAGGTGGCATTTGTGACACACTTTAAAAATAATGCAACAGATTCAGATGCTTGGGGAAGAGGGGCCTCGAGCTCTTCTAGTACAACCCCGTCAGAGATGTGAATTCCTCCTCTTCAAGGAATGTTTACATTCGTGTCAAAAGCAGGGTTTAGTGAACCATAAAAGTTCAAAGTTAATGCAAACAGGAGTCGCCCCAAAACATATTTCAACCGATTTAAAAGGAGACAAAGCAGATGGAAATTATGGTGAAAGTGCTCTTACGGCTCTAGTTCTTTTTTGTTTTACTCTTTTCTTACACTGCCCATTTAGCTGCCTATGCCAGGGCCCTCCAGATTGACAGAAAGCACATCACCAGCACACAGTTCACCACATCTGACCTCACAGAACTCAGACTCGGAGAGCAAAAGCTCAAGGAAAGGTTGTTTCATGAGACGCTTCTCCATGTCAGTGAGTGTCGCCTGCTCCTTTCTAAAGTGTTTTAGGCATGG